ATTGGTTCAAAGGTGGGTGTTTTGGTCAGGATTCCTGTGGGTGAAATACATGTGTCTGATTTTTCTTTTATTTCTTTTCAGCCGCTGAATCAGATCATCTCACAACACTTAGTAAGTGCATTGAAAAGAATATCCTATATTAGTTTATAATTTTTTAATCCTATATAGTTATTTATATCTTAAGAATAAATGCTGCTTTTCTGAGCTTTAATGAATGGCATAAGGACTCCATAAAACTACGATTTGTGTCCCTTCTTGAAAGACAAAGGCAAAAGAAACTTCTTTCAGCATGAATGGACCACATGGTTATACAGTTATGTGTATGTGTGTGTGTGTGTGTGTGTGTGTGTGTGTGAGTGTTTCAATTTTATTTTATCTCACCTTAAACTTCATGCATGTCAGAATCAACTAGAGTATTTGTTTGAATAGATCCTTGGAATTCCTCTTCCTCCCTCTAGAGACCCTTGTTTGGAGGGCCTGAGGTGAGGCTCAAGAATCCTCAGTTTTACATCACACATGAGGGTGGTTTGCAGACCACAGTTTGAGAAACCATCCTGCATGGCCCAATATGGATTAAACTTTGGTGTTTGCAGTGTAATTTTGAAAGCACTGCTTTGGTCAGAAGTTACAAAGAAAGTGACAGAAGCGTGTGTGTGTGTGTGTGTGTGTGTGTGTGTGTGTCCGTGTCCTTTAAATGCTGCCTATTTTAATTTATTGTCATCAAGTGAATTTAAATTTTTAACAGTTCCCAACTGTTCTTGGCTACGTCCTAAGTTTGACTTGTTGATATTAAAGAGTTTTTCATGAGCAGATTGCTGTCACTGAACTTTTAACATTGACCTCTCAAAATAGCCTTAACATCTTTGCCACCACATCTGGAGAACCCCAGTCCTCCTAGGAGCCTTCTAAGCAGGAGAGCCCACAGCTTGGGAACATGTCCCCTGCCTTCAGGGATGATGCATCAACTGATCACACAGGCACAATGACAATTGTGAAAAGCGCTGGAGCCAGAGTGCATGGCAGGAGAGGTGTGAGCAGCTCATCAGGAGAGAGACCCTGAGGAAGCCGCAGGGAGCTGAGGTCTGGAGCAGGTGCAGGAGTAGCCAGGCAGAGTGGGGAAGAAGAGTGTTTGCCTCTTCCCTTCTGGCACTGTTGTCAGAAACTTGAAAGAAACAGGCACAGACTTAGACTGACTGTAGCCACCATCCCCCAGAAGCCATGTGTCCTCCCTGCTCAGCCGCCTTAATGTGCTGTCTAGTCAGGGTGGTGCTCTGATGGGAGGCTCTCCTGAAGTCCCATTTCTCTGTATTCTTGATACGTTTGCTGAAGCTCTAGGAAAAAAGGCTTTTGATCAGTGAAGTTTGGAAAGTGGTGCTTGCCTTTGGTGGCAGGAAAATATTGGTCTTTGGGGATAAAGGGGTAAAGAACAGGTGCGTGCACAGCTGCTGTCAGTTTCGGTTCTTACATGCTTTTTAGGTCCTTGTCTAAATCCCGGGAGAGAGGGCAGGGATAGGCCTGCAGACATGGTCAGTGAGGAAATCTCTGGAGAGCTCATTCTTGGTCATGTCTCAAACGACACATTGAGCAATGAGCAATCCATCAGCATATCCACTTTGTAACATCCTCCACTTCCTCCACACCATCCCCTCGGGCTGTCTCCGTTCACTTGGGGACAGTGAGACTCCATGGCAAGGGCTCACATGAGGCTCCCATCCACAAAATCCTTAAACCCTGCTGAGACAGATGCAGACTATGGAGCAGGAAAGACAGTGCCTGGGAGTGTGAGATAACCTGTGTGCTTGTGGTGGATGAAGGGTAAGGGCTTACCACCTTCTTAAAGATGAAAACTGCGAGGATCAAAATGGTCTTATCTTGAATAGTGCTGCAAAGTCAATAGAAAAGCAATGTGGAGCTTTGGTCAAGGCTGCTGGGTGACTTCGCATTGAAGACCCACCTTTGGTGGGCCGGGGAAAGTAGGTCAGCGTGGACCACCTTCCTTGCATCAGCAAGAACCACAGGACTGGGCGGTAGCAGACCGTGGTTTTGCAGGAGGGAGTACAGGGGAACATGGTGGACAGGGATGTCACAGTCTCCGTGTCCTTACCTACCCTCCAAATGTCTGTGCCTCAGTTTCTCATCTGTAAGTGCTGATGGCAAGGTTGGTGGGAAGGTTAAAAGAGATAATATATGTAAAAACGGTATTATCTTCAAGGAACTATGAAGACACAGTAAGACTTCACGGTAAGTCAAAATGAACGCTTGCTTCGATTCTCTTCCCAATACTGCTCCTGCTCTTCGGCCTCTCTCCCAGCTTCAATGGAGTAGCCTACTTGGTAGACATGGGCTAGCTTGATGATACCTTGCCTATTCTTTTTTTTTTTTTTTTTTTTTTTTTGCTCAAACGCTTCCTCAGCAGTAAATACACAATAGATATGTTTCTCATCTTCATGAGATTTGTGGCAGTGACAGTTCAAATGGAAAGACACCAGATCTCTTAGAAAATGCTTATGTCTTTGGGAAATACCTTGACAGATCTCTTGGTGGCTTCTGGTTGGGCCATTCTGATGGCTTAGCTATGTTGGACACTGATCCCCAGTGATAGACATCAGCCTGTCTCCATTTCCTGGAAAAAAAAAAAATTACAAGTGGGAACCTCCCCTTATAGGTAATTTACTACCATGCCCACAATGGCAGCTGGGGTTATCTACAGCTATGTGGTTGATTCTTGGAAAACTAAAAATTCATCTCAATAGATGAAAAAGGGTCTATTCAAAATGTGTGGACATAGCAGAACCAGAAACAACTTCGGTGTTCTGTTCTGTGCTATAGATGAGCCTTGTCAAGGCCCTGGAGCTCTGAGTTTGTGAGTTGGATGAGTTTGACTGCCATGAAATTAAGCGGGATACCCAGGATACTCATTGGCAGTGGGAATTGCATGGTGTCATGCAGACTGTTTAAATGGCAGAGTTTTGAATGGCAGGATCTCTCAGGCACGTCAGTCAGCATGTGCTTGAGTGTGGGAGCAGGGATGGCATGTGAAAAATGAGGTGGGGATGTTCTGGTACAGATGTTCCCTAGTTTGCTATCTCTGTTGAAAGAATGTCCTGGTTTCTATTGTGAGTTGCTTCCTTATCAGGGGTGTGTAGTCACATGGTGTCAGCGGCCTCCTTCCTAAGCCATCAATACGAAGCAGGGCAGCTGGGGAAGCCCATTTTGGACTTCACATGCAGGCTATTGAGGCAGGTGAAGCAGTTCTCTGCCATAAACAGCAAGTCCTGTTACTGGTCTGTTGGTTCTGTTAGAGAAATTCAAATTTCTGAACCATGAGTGTCATGCTCTCAGGACCCACATTTACAAAGAATCTGAGGAGCCGGGTGTAGTGGCACATGCCTGTAGTACCAGCTACTCCAGCACTGGAGGCAGGAGGATCGCTTGAACCCAGGAATTTGAATCCAGCCTGGGTAATAGAGCAAGACTCTGTCTCTAAAAATAAAATAATCATCTGATACTTTGGTCAAATGCCTAATCCTCCTTTTACCAGGAAGCAAAAAGAAAAGGAATAATGAAAGAAACTATGTTGGAAATGTTAATAAGAATTTAAACATAGCAGACCTTTTTGTATCACATAGATTTTGGTATATAAGCATCACGAAAGACAAAAGAATACTACTACATGTCTTTTATTAGCAAAATAATATGGTCCAGGTTCTTGCTACAAAATATCGTGATAAAATCCCTATCGAAGTGGGTAAGAGCATCATATTTTACCTTAGAATTATATTATTGACTCCTGGATTCTTGAATTTGAGAAATTCCTCTAGGATATCATCATTTGAAGACTCATAGTCTGATCTGTTGTACAATCAGTTCTGTCATTATTAGTATCTGGAGTGCTGTGTCTTGTCTCTTTATATTCCTCTTCTGGTTCATCTAATGATTGCAAAATATCTTCCTTTGTTAATTTTCTTCTCTTTGCCATCACTAGTAGATAATGAAAAAATTTGAATTCTTAACTGCATTCAATGAAAGCTAAAAACAGACTATGAAGACAGTGTCTCCAATCGTAAAAAAAAAAAAAAAATACTTCTTGAAAGAAAACAATGCTTTGGGCATGGAAGAATGATGACTTACATCACCATTTCTTCTTCCCTCTAGGCAGCGTCACCATTCTACCCTTTTCTTACAATATAATAATTGATGAATAATGATGCAATAATTTCTTGGATGATAAAATGGTTAAATGTTTCAAGATACAGGAAAAGTGAAGTCAGATGCCAATAATGAATCTTGGATTTATAAAAGGATCTAATGGATCCATATGGTAATTACAGGATAGAATGAGTTTTATCCTATTTTTTAAATGAATACATATTCTCTCTAATCTTTGAAAGACCTCTAAAATATATAAAAGCTATGCAACATCAGTACTCACAAGTATAGTTAGAAGTGCTCAAAAAGAAACTCAAAAGCTACAATTGAGTCCGACGGACCTTGTCTGGCCTCACTGAATTCAAAGATCCATGGATCTCTAGATTTCTATTTGCTTCAAGATAGAATAAAATGTTTTCAGGTTACGGGTCAGAAGGAACAGAACATCTGACACTAACATATTTTCTTATTTAGGGGGCGTCCAAGCGGCTGTTGTCAATGGCAGCTATCCTCAAATTGCAGACAGGACAACAGCTTAAACTGTCTTCTCTTGTCCAGCCCTTTTCTCCGTGCATAGATTACATCCCGTCGCTCTAAGCCGTAGCGTTAGGGGGCTAGTAGAGACATGTGCTTCATTACACCTAAAATGATGGCGCTCCTCATATCCAATCCACTTGCTTTAATCTGCTGTTGTGAAACTCATTGAGCAAGAACCTCAGAGACACACAAACCCAAGATTGAGCCACAGCGCCCTCTGGTGTGATTGTGCGGGGAAGCGAAAGCCAATTTCTGTGACTTGTAGGAAATTATTTGTAAATCGTGTTTCTAAAACGAATTTACGTTCTTTCCAGGTGAGTGGATCCCAGGGACTACAGACGCTGGTAAGAACTTTTCTTCACTCCTCTTCCCTGGTGGGGTTTGTCAGATTCCCTCTGCTGCTGTTGGCTAGCTGAGGCTGATCACAGCTGTGGTCACAGAGCAAATGCCCACCTTGTCAAATGCAGGAATGCTGGGGGTGCGGAGGGGTGGGCAGGAGACATGGGTGCCAAGACCCTTGGCATGTCGCAGGTGCACACCCAGTCAATCCCAGCTGTCATTCTCCTTCTTCTTGCTCTCTGGCTCTCGGCCATTTATAAGATGAGATTAGCTTCAGTTTGGTGTGAGGAGAGGTAGTTGAAACAAAAGGTTGGTACCTCTGCTTCTGGGTTGAAGCGATTCTCCTGCCTCAGCCTCCCGAGAAGCTGGGACTACAGACTCATGCCACCATATCCAGCTAATTTTTGTACTTTTAGTAGAGACAGGGTTTCACCATGTTGGCCAGGATGGTCTCAATCTCTTGACCTCATGATCCGCCCACCTCAGCCTCCCAACGTGCTGGGATTACAGGCATGAGGCACCCACACCTGCCTCCCCTTTTCTTTTCACTAATAATGACAGATATCTGGAAGATAACTAATGTCTACCAAGCACTTGTTATGCACCCTGTATCAAATGATTTTCATGTATGAAATGAGTTGCTATATTTTAAAAAGACTTAAAATGCCACGTGGCACACAGTAAGTGCTCAACTAATGCACATAGTGGGTGCTATTATCATGAAATCTTCCCAAGAACACTTTGAGCCAAGTAATATGATTATACCCATTTTGCAGATGGGAAAAGCAGGGCACAGTTAGGTAATTTATCAATATTTCTGTGTCTAAGGTCATGTGTCTGGTGAGTAGCAGGGTAGAGATTTGAGTCAAGGATAGGTGCCTCCTTCTGCCCCTGCCCTGGTCTTTGACTTTGGCTTAATGTCCCTGTCTCTCCAGTGAGCGTGTGAAGACCTTTGTGCCCAAGTTTGATTTTTCAGAGTCTCCTATGTATTCACTTAGGATGACTCTGCCCCTGGGCCCTTGGCACTGTTGAGGCCAGTCCCTCCCCTTCTAGGACATGCCTTGAGAGATCAAGAAATGGGCTGGGAAAGGCAGCTTTCTGACCAACATGTAGCAAGGAAAAGGCTGAGGCAGGGAGACGGAGCACTCTTCTGGAGGAACTATTCACAGGGTGACCAGGAGGGGACTCATTGCCCCACTGCACCCCTAAGTTCATCTCTGATCCAGAAGAGGTGCAGAGGGCATAGAAGGTAGGATGTTTAGCTCTTAAGAGGGGCCCTTCTGAATAAGGCCCCAGGTCTGAACAGGCACCTCTTCCATGGTTTATGTTCCTGAGACTTGGGAGGGACAGAGCATGGGAGGTCCAGAATGTACCTTGGGATGCCCTGAAGATGGCCCAGCTGGCCTTCCTCCCTCCAGGAGGAAAAGCAACCTGCCCCCTCCTGTTTCATCCCATTCTAGCCTCTCACTCTGTGGCCACAAGTTTCTTGTAACCTCAAACTCACCATTGAAAAGCCATACCCAGGATCTGGCTCCCGCCATTAGGAGGGTGGGCTGCGCCCTCAGGACCTGTGCCTATTTTCCTCGCAACGTTAATGCAGCTTACCCCGGTGGGTGGTCTAGTGGCATCGTGTCTGGCAGGAACATGGTGGCTTTTGACTTCCCAGCATGGCCAGCTCCATGGTGGGACACAGGCTGTCTCAGCCCCTTCCAGGAGAGGAGGCTGGAAAAGTCGGTCGAGGCTCGCTCTTGGACTTGATTCTGATGGAAGTGGAGAGCGTATTAAAGCATTTTGAGCAGGGAAGTGAGATGAATATATTTGTACTTTGTAAAGATAAAACTTGGAAACCATCTGGAGACCGATGACTCCTCTTAGCACAAAAATGAATGCAGAGTAAGCACTTCATCAGTGCTGGTTGAATCAATGCATGTGGATGGACTAGAGAAAGGAGGAGCAGAGATTGAAGATTCAGCTGGGAGTAGGCCAGGTTCAAGGGGATGAAGGCCTATCCCAGTGAAACGGCAGTGAAAATGACAAGGAAAGGACTTGGTGATGTTGGATATAGGATGTGAGGAGAAGGAGGAGTCGAGTGTGATGCCCACATTCCCAGCATGGTTGGTGTGGAGCATGGTGAGATCCTTAATTCAAACGGAAAGAAGAGGTGACACTGTTTGGGGTGATGGATGGGGTGGGATGGGCAGGAGGCCACTGGAGATTAGAGCTTGACTGTCAGGGCTGAGTCAGGGACAGAGTGGTGGATTTGGGGATCCTCTAGAAAGTTCTCAGAGTGCATGAGGTTCTCCAGGGGGAAAATACAGAAGGAGAGGAGGGCAAAGACAGAACGTGGAAGCAAAGGGATGTGTCAGGTCTGGTCAGAGGACGAAAGTGGAATGAGGGGGGCAGGGATGCAAGTCAAGGGGGCCGAGAGCACCGGGGTAAGGGCTTCCCGCTGTGTCACTGCAGGGCTGCCTCTGAGGCTGGTGAGTGGAGGTGACCGGTGTCAGGGCCGGGTGGAAGTCCTGCACCAAGGCTACTGGGGCACTGTGTGTGATGACAGCTGGGACACCCAGGATGCCGATGTTGCCTGCAGGCAGCTTGGCTGTGGCTATTCTGTGTCAGCCCTGGGAGGGGCCCACTTTGGTCAGGGCTCCGGAAACATTCTCTTGGGTGACGTGCATTGCTCGGGAAGGGAGCCCTACTTGTCAAGCTGCCCCCACAGCTTGATGGTACAACCACGAATGTGCCCACAGGGAAGATGCTGGTGTCGTGTGCTCAGGTATTGTGGATATCACCTTACTCTCTGCATGTGCACGTCTGAGTCAGTATCACAACACGTGAGCTGTGTATGTACACATGTGTGTGCTCTGCACTTTACTTGCTTTGTTGTAAGTTATGTTCTAGTTGATGTTGGAGAGCAGGTGGTACTGCCCCTTTTCAGAGACAGTGAAGGTCAAGGGATCATCTGCCTGTCCTTCTGAAGCTGGGCGTCGGGGAGGCAGGCTTCCGTCTCAGTCCCTCAGAGCCCGCCAATGCAATCACCTCATGGACTGGTTCTGATGAGCAGCATCACGACCACCCCTGGCCTGGGACACCAAATAAACATCTTCCCAAGTGGCAGTTTCTCCTCTTTTAAAGGCTGAGGAGGATAGGGGGACTGCTGGACCCTAGGATGTGAATGTATACCAACATCAAATAGAGGAGTGAACGAAAGCATTCTCTTCATTGGGAATTAAACGGCAAATAAGAGATACTTAACATCGTCAGTGGAAAAGAGAGCTTCTCCTGGACCCAACCCAGCAAATCCCAGTGCTGATTTCAGTTGTTCATATAGTGCCCGGATGTGTGGACACCAAGGGGGTCCTTTGATCATGACATGTTCCCCCAGGAGGAGTTTCTGGTTAAACTTCTAGTTGCTCTGGTCCACTTCTAGAGCAACTCTGGCATTTGCTATGTGGACGGGACTGAACCCATGCCACCCTGCACAGGATGTGCCCTTGAGAATCCAAGCACCAAGTAGGACTGGGCTCCCCATGGGGACATGGTCTTCCATGCAGCCCCCTAGTGAGTGGCTTATTTTGGCATTCTGAAAAGGTTGGTTTTCTCTATAAACCATCTTTCTTTCTAGTTGAATCACCTTCTCAGGAGTATTTCAGTGATGGTGAATATTTGTCATTTGAGGGTGTGTTTGACCTATAGAAACAGACAGATGTGATTTGACATTCAATCCTATGACTACGGCGGGGCTGTGAATAGACTGGGTGACTTTTTGAATAGAGGCTGTGGCAGCAGAGGAGGTGGGGGGAGAGTAGCAAGGGCAAAGGATGCTCATGAGGCATCCTAGCCAAGCCTATCACCAGCAGAGTGACAGAGCCGTTGGCACGTGTTTGGCTTTTGGCAATGGAGGATGCCCGTAGCACCTGTGCTTCCAGCCTCTGCTTCAGAGTGGAGGAAGCCATGGGCCAACCCTCCCCAGGAGAGGGCTAGCATCAATGAGCTCTTCCTTTCTCCATTCTGCAGCTTCTCTGTTTCCCTCGAAGGTGCCCCTGGAGACAACTGTAGCAGAAGGTAATGTCTATGCTGGGGGATCCCTGTGGGCTTATTACCCAACTGCACCCCTAGGTTCACCTCTGATCCAGAAGAGGCACAGAGGGCATAGAGAGTAGGGTGCTTAGCTCCCAAGAGGGGCCCTTCCAAATAAGTCCTCGGGTCTGAACAGGCATCTCTTCCATGGTTTCTGTCTGAGACTGGGGAGGAATCAAGTTGAAGATGCATCTCCAAGGAGTTCCAAGGTGGAGCCTGCTGTCCTGTCTCTAGAGATTCTGTTATCCATGCAGCTCACTCCTGTGGTCCTCACCCAGCTGTGCTGACCCCTGGCCAGGCTAGGGTGCTGGATCTCTGGCTGCAGGGCCTTGAGAGGCAGGTGCCTACCTGCTGACATAGCCAAATTGCTAGGACAGCATTCTCGCCCTTGCCCTTTCTCTAAGCCCATATTAGGCCACCCTTGTTTCTTCCTAACAGAGAGAAATCACAATCTTTCAGCTTATGGGCACCAGAGGTCCTGCACATCCCCCTTGGGTACCTCCAGTGAGAAATCTGGGAGACACAGTCAATACAGCCTGGGATTCTGGCAGCCCGGGCTTGACTTCCCATTTCCCATGGGAAACTTGGGTCCTAGGAGAAGCTCAAGGACAGCATTCTCACCAAGGCCTCTGGCTCGCCCAGGGTTGGCATGGAGCAGTTGGAAATGCTGATGGTACATACATCAGGCCCTCCTATTCCTCAAGCCCTCTGCTTCCCTCTCCCTGTGGCCCATGGGGTGAGGCCTGACTTAACCTCTTTCTCTTCCCTATGGTGAAGAATACAGATAACACTGGAACTGCGGGTGAGACTGGCTTTACTCTTCCCTTTCTATAGGTCATGATGCCAACTACATCCATGGGCTTGACTGTGATTCAGGAAAAGTTTTAGGGGATGGGATGGGAGGGAATCTTGTGAGCACACAGTGACCTTCTGGGCCCCAGAGATCAGCTAGAGTGAAGCATCCTTCATTGCCCTTGTTTGCAGGGGCAGGGAGAAATCAGTCAGAATGTGGCGTCTCTAACAGCCTGTTGTACTTTGGAATTAGAGACCAGTGGGATCAGCCTCCAGTCCAGAGTGACAGCCTAGATTCCCCCATCTCCACAGCCCTGTGCTGACCCCAGCCATCCTGGCCAGGAAGATCATGTGCGAAATATGCTCTATGCCAACTTTTGCACCCCAGATACGCATCAGAGCTCCTCCCAGGACAGCCTGATGTCATTGTGCTGCTCTTCCGTGTGGGGTGTTCTGTGTCCCTTGTCTGAGGGAATCAGGCAGAGCCCATGATCTGCTTAGAGAAGGGTCATGTGGATCTCCAGGCCCCCTCCAGGATGTAGATTAGGAGGGGCAGGTCCTCCAGCTGAAGCTCTAAGGCTTGGGTTTGGGCGGAGCAGTCACTCTCCTCTTCCCCATGAAGAATTCTAACTTCAAGGTGTGTTAGAGCCCAGCCTAGTTAGAGATTCTCTCAAAGACTCTGAATGGGGAAGACTCTGAATGCCCTGCAGGCCGTGGGATCTTGTCTGTCAGTAGGAATGTGCAAGAGAAATGTTGTGCCTCCCTCTAGGATCCGATTCCGGTTTGGCCCTGAGGCTGGTGAATGGAGGTGGCAGGTGTCAGGGCCGGGTGGAGGTCCTGTACCAAGGCTCCTGGGGCACCGTGTGTGATGACAGCTGGGACATCAGTGATGCCAATGTGGTCTGCAGGCAGCTGGGCTGTGGCTGGGCCATGTCGGCTCCAGGAAATGCCTGGTTTGGCCAGGGCTATGGACCCATTGTCCTGGATGACGTGCGCTGCTCAGGGTATGAATCCTACCTCTGGAGCTGCTCCCACAATGGTTGGTTCTCCCACAACTGTGGCCATCATGAAGACGCTGGTGTCATCTGCTCAGGTAGGCATCAAAGATCTCTGGAGGGTCGGGTGTGGTGGCTCATGCCTGTAATTCCAGCACTTTAGGAGGCTGAGGCAGGCAGATTGCTTGAGCTCAAGACCAGCTCTGGGTAAGATGGCAAACCCTGTCTCTAGTGAAAAAAAAATCACTTGAGCCCATTCTAGGGACAGACTATATTCAGAGAATATGGTAACAAACAGGTTTCTCACTCCAGGGACCCCACTCACCAAGCCTTTCCTGGTCATCTGGTGGCTCTGGAGTTTAGCTGGGGTTATCCAGCTGTGTGTGCAATGACATGGTCAGCACAGATCCCTAAGCGGCAGGCAGTGCCCCAACATTGGTTTGGAGGTGACTGAGGCACCAGTGTTCAGACACAGGGTCCAGCATGCTGACAGCAGAAATGAAGAACCTTTTATTCTGCTCCAGGAACATCCTCATAACTTATACCCACTATTTTCCCTGAGGCTTCTTCTCAGGGACAGCACATTTTGGAGATCTGGTTGGTAAAGCCTCCCCTCCCCTTCAACACCGTATTACCTTGAGTGCTGTCAGCCACTGACTCAGAGGGAAGGGCTCAAGTCTAAATAGTTCACTTATGATTACTGTGAAGAGAGGCGGGGAAGTGGGGTAAGGGTGGGAGGATGGCAGCGAGTGACAAATGGAGGGGGAGCCTCCCAGAGGATCACCAGGAATCCGTGTCAAACCTCAGGCTCATCGCAGCTCAAGGGAGAGTTGGCATCTTTGTCAACTCGTTGCTTAGGGTGGCTGTGTGCTGCTCCCTATTGTTGATACCCAGGTTGTTGTGGCCGGTCCCAGGCACCAAAGTGACCTTTATATTCCCAGAGAGTGGACCATAGGCACAGAAATGGAGGCAATGCTGGGGTGTGTGGGGTCCCCGAGGGACTGAGGGCTTCACAGTGGGCTCTGGTAGGGCATCAGCTCAGGGTGTTGATACCCCACCACTTCCGCCTTAACTCTAGTTGGGATCTGAGCCATCAGTCTCCAGTGCCTGCAGAAGTCCGGCCTACAGACCCCGACTCAACGACCGAGGAAGGAATGCACCCTCACACAATCATTGCAGTGATTCAAGTGGGCTAGGGATGGCCGCTGGCTGCTTTCAGAGGGCGAAATGCAACCAGTCGACCCAGACCTTCTGTCCATCACACTTTTATTCCATTGAGATTTTACAGCAGAGATTCTAAGTTAACACACTTGTGGATAATTAACATGGTTACAAAAATGACAAAAGCTTTAGGTTCTGGGATCCCAGAGTAAATGCTATTAACAGGAAATTCCCCTTTCATCTTCCCCAGACAGAGCCACCCTGCACAAAATTAACATGAGTAAACAGTTAGAGTGGAGACAAATGGGTGTGGGGTAAGGCCTTTGATCATCTCTCTCTCCCTAACTTAATGGACTGGCCGGTCACCTTCAGTCTGCCTCAGTAAAACCTTTTGGCCTTCCAAAAGGTTTGAGACTAATCTATAACTTTCCCTAATATATCTTAAATATTTTCTGTAATATTTTTGCCAACCACCCCAAGTGAATCTCAACAGGGGTCACTGAGGGCTTGGTGTCTAATGTTGCATTTTTTCCTCACAGCTGCACAGTCGACACTCAGGCCAGGTGAGTCCCCACCATCCTTCCCCAGGATGTCCCTTCTCTTTCTGCTCAGTTACCCCTTCCCCACTCCACAGAGCCCTCCTGCTTCTCTGCAGAGATACTCTGGGGCATATTATTCCCCCCTGCCCATGCTCTCTGTAACTGAGACCCCAGCCTGGTGCTTCTTAACCACGCATAGTATTAGAGTATTCAGCTTCTGCCTCCTCTTCAATCCATCTCAGCTTTCATCACATAGTTCCATGCTGTCCCAGTGAAACGCTTACAGGTTCAGAAAGAGGCCCCTCTGTTAAATGAACCTCGGCCCCTTTATATTCAGGGCTGATACAACCTTTCTGAGAATTGAGGGTGATACTCTCTAATGTTCTGTTGAAAGCAAGGTCAGTACAAGCCTGATACTCCACGTCCCACTACTTGAAAGATCCCCAGATTGTACAGGGCCACGTCTGCATCCAGAAGAGGCAGAGCCCATGCTCAGGGGAGAGAAACGCTAAGAAATGTTTCTGGTGCCTTCACTTACCAGGAAACCTGATTTTCCCCTAGGTGAACCCCTAGTCCCCCAAACATTTTAGCTGCAAGCGTCAGAGTCTCGGCAATGGTGTCAGATGTGCCAGTCAGTCCGTGGGTCAGTGGATGGTGGTTTTGGGGGTGGTGAAGGTTTCCTAACTGAGAAGAGGTCAACCCTGTCTTAGGGAGAGATGGAAGGGCCTGCATGGTGTCCTTTGTCTCTGAATCAGTTCCCTGGGCAGGAGTCCTGGGCAGACACATGGGGAGCAATTGGCCAGACCTGGGAGTGGAATTGTTTTCACAGTGCTTGCCTGGCCCAGAGAACTGCTTGCTTTTTACCTTTTCCCCATCAAGTCTAACTGTATCCTTTCTCTTTGTTGCTGTTTACAGACACTTGGCCTGCCAGGACATCATCTGTACTCATAGAAGGTAAATAATCCTCTCAGCACTCCCCGGAGCTCACTGTCTACCTCTGGATACACGTTGGATTTTATAGTTCACTTATGATTGCTGTGAAGAGAGATGGGGAAGTGGGGTGAGGGTGGGAGAATGGCAGCAGGTGATAAACAGCAAGCTCAAGGTTGAGATCGGCACTGGGAACAGGGGCGGGACCTCCCAGAAGATCATTAAGAATCCTTAGCCTCATGATAGGGTGAGGTGGGTGCCTCACTTCTTCATGTTTCTGTAGGTTGGGTAGAGAGGAGGGTGGGGTCTCTGAAGACCCAGAACTAGATGTGATGTTGGAGGGTGGGAGGTGCTGGTGACCTCTCTCCTGTGGGATCCTGTTCCCAGTGGTCAGGAAAGGTCCTCATCCATGTGCTTAGGATGAGCCCTTGGGGGTGGGTCTCCCTAATCCTACGGGGACCTCTTTCCGGGTCCTGAGGCCATGGGAAGATTAGGTAAAAGTGCCTGTCCTCACACAGGTCTGCCCAAGGTCCTACCATCTCTGGTACTTTGCCAGCCAGATCCCAGACAAGACCCTGCTCCTGAATAAGGGAGAGGTCTGGGCATGCCATGTGTAGCCGTCCAGCTCCATCCTGTGTGTACCCAGATCGGGAAGTGGGATGTCCATTCTTATCACCTCCACTGGGATCACAGGTGCCCCCAAAACTTGAGCTTCCTTAGATGAAGCTTTCTCTGTGATGAAGCCTAATCTCCGGCCATATTCAAAGGTGACTCCCTGCCTGGTTGACTTTGGCCATTAGAAAGTGCCCTGAGTGTGGAACGTGACTTAGATCCTAATTTTGTCTTTTCTCTTTGTTGCAATTTATAGACACTTGGCCGACCACAGCCTCACATGCATCAACAGCTGGTAAATAATTCTCTCAGCCCTCCCTAGGGCTCACTATCTCTGGACAGATTTTTGTTTGAAACTGATAGGATGAGACACATGTTGGGCCCCTCTCTTTTCATGTCCCTGCGGGTTACATGGGAAGGAAGGTGGAGTCTCTGGAGAGCCAGTTCTGGGTCTGATGTTAGAGGGTGGAGGGTGCTGGTGACCTCTTTCCCGTGGGATCCTGTTCCAAGTGGTCAGGAAAGATCCTCATCCAGGTGCTCAGGACGAGCACTGGAGGGCTCCCTAATCCTACTGGGACGTCGTTCCTGGCCCTCAGGCCATGAGCTGGAGACCTCCAAAGAGTGGTGCATTCCAAAAGTGCTGGTCCCTGCATGTGTCTGGCCAAGGCCTTGGCATCCCTGGCAATTTGCCAGATGCCAGAGAGGACCATGCAGGTGTCCCAGAGCTCTTGAATACTGTGTGGGTCTGGGCCTGGATTTGTAGCTGTGGAGCTCTGTCCTGTGTGCACCCACAGTGAGGAGTAAGATGTCCATTCCTGTCACCTCCACTGGGGTCATACGCGCTTACCCACAAGTGGAGCTTTTATAGACTTGGGTAGAATAGGTATCACTTCTTCTTCCATTAGGAGAGAGCTTAACTGCTGGGCAGTCATCTTCAGTCGTGACCGTGTGCCCTGGTGACTTTGGCATTTATATTCAAACTTGATTTCTTTGCCCAGTGCCCTGAGTGTTGTACATGTCTTATCCTTGACCTGCTGATAGGGATGGATGAAGAATTCTTGTGTTCCCCTGTAGGATCTGAAGCCAGTTTGGCCTTCAGGCTGGTGAATGGAGGTGACAGGTGTCAGGGCCGAGTGGAAGTCCTCTACTGAGGCTCCTGGGGCACCATGTGTGATGACAGCTGGGACATCAGTGATGCCAATGTGTGGTCTGCAGGCAGCTGGGCTGTGGTTGGGCCATGTCGGCCCCAGGAAATGCCCGGTTTGGTCAGGGCTATGGACCCATTGTCCTGGATGATATGCACTGCTCAGGACACGAGTCCTACCTGTGGTGCTGTCCCCACAGTGGCTGGCTCTTCCATAACTGTCAGCACAGTGAAGACGCTGGGGTCATCTGCTCAGGTGGGCCTCCAAGGCTTGGGGCTCCCTGTGTTGGTGTGGAGTGTGGTCAGGAAGCGAGGTCTCATTCTGCTGTCATCTCCTCACTCAGAGCTTTTCCTAGATATCTCCTTAGTTCTCTGCTAGGAAACAGCATGAGTCACTGCCACATTGCCAGGTATTGGGGAGGTCAGGGAGGACAATGGGCCAGATTGAAATGAGGGTCATGTGTTTGTTCACCTACTGAGGCAGCTCGAGCAGGAGGAGAGAGAGGAAAGCGCCAGGCCTTTGTCTTTTAGTGCGTCTGGAAGAGAGTAGCTGGGGCCCGGTTATTCATGAAGAAAGAGGTTGATTTGGACCGTGGCTTTGCAGCTGCATAGGAGCACGGTGCAGGCATCTGCTTGGCTTCTGCTGAGGAGGTCAGGTTGCTTGCACTCCTGGTAGAAGGGGATGAGGAGCTGTCCTCGGCAGAGGTCACAGAGGAAGAAGAGAGAGCAAGAGGGAGGGCCCAGGCCCTTTTCAACTAGTAGCTCTAGTTATGAACTAAGAGAAGACCTCACCCCTGACCAGGGGGGTCACTGAGGTATTCATGATGGGTTGGCCTCCATGACCCAACAGGGTGCATCAGGCCTCACCTCTGTACTTGGGGATCCAATCCCAACATGACACTTGGATGGGACCAGCACCCACAGTGTAGTACACTGGCTCTCCAGGCTTCTGTATTTCGCCTACTGAAGGGTTTTGTGTGAGGGTGAGGTGGATGAAGCACATGTAAGGGACTGGGGAGGAATTGTCTCACTGGGAGGAGCCCAGAACCAAAGGCTTCTGCTAGGAAGTGGGATCTTTTGCTGAGGCTCAGTAAGGTTCTGTCTTAATGGAGCTACAAGGCTGGGAGTGCAGATCTCTGTCTGTCCGTGTCTAGCCTGGGTTTTGTGGGCTTTGAATCCTTGGCCACAACTCCCTCCAGAGCACTGCAGTGTCTTGCTCGTGCACCAGGTCTGGTGTGGGGCGGGCAGCCCCCATGACGCCTGCTAGGTAAAGCCTCGTTATGAATGCCTGCGGGCTGGGTTGAAAGGTCACGGGTAGGACTCTGGCTGGAGTGACCCCCTCACATTTGCTGTCTCCGGGACTGCTAAGATGTGCAAGGGACAGGGCTGGTTTTGTGTCAGCCTGATTACTACAGGCAGACACAGAGTCAATCACTTTGGAGCTGGTAGTAGTGGACAGGATCTGCCCAGATGCCTTCTAAGGAGCATCTCTGCAGGGATGTGCATGGCCATGTCCCACCCTCTGTGATGGGGACCTAGGATGGACCGAAGGCGTGGCCTGCCCAGTTCCTTCCCCCTTCGTTACGGTTGTGTGAGCTTCTGTGTAGTGCATCTGATCTGACCTCCTCTTTCTCACAGCTGCCCAGTCCCGGTCAACGCCCAGGCCAGGTGAGTCCCCAGTATCCTTCCTTGGGATGTTCTTCTCTTTCTGTACAATTCTCACTTCCTGCGCTCCACAGAGCCCTCATTCTTCTCAGATTGGACACTCTGGGGCATATTATTTTCCCCTGCTCTTTAATGGAGATCTCAGCATGACACTTTTTATCAGACATAGGGGTCATGAGCCTTCTGTCTTCTGTTCCATTTATCTCAGCTTTCATGAAGCAGTTTCACACCGTCCCAGTGACCTACCCTTACAGGTTCGGGAAGTGGACTCATGTTTAATCCGCTTTGGCCCTTTTCTGTTCAGAGCTGATATGACCTTTGTGAGGATTGAGAGTGATTGCCAAAGTCTCCTGGGAAGGCAACGTCAGCTGAAGCCTTAAACATGACTTTGGCCATGGGCAAGCAATGCCAGTGCCGGTCCCATACCATCCCTCACTCCTTCAAGCACCCCAGATGTTTTTTATTACACTTTTAATTTCTGGTTACACGGGGAGATTGTACAGGATTGTTACATAGGCATACGTATGCCATGGAGGTTTGCTGCATCCATTCCTTTGTCACCTACATTAAGTATTTCTCTTAATGTTATCCCTTCCCAATCCCTCCACCCACTGCTATGCTTCCCCTAGCCCCCACAACAGGCCCCACTGTGTGATGTTCCCCTCCCTGTGTCCATGTGTTCTCATTGTTCAACACCCACTTATGAGTGAGAACATGTGGTGTTTGGTTTTCTGTTCTTGTGTCAGTTTGCTGAGAATGATGGTTTCTAGCTTCATGCATGTCCCGGAAAAGGACATGAACTCATCCTTTTTTATGGCTGCATAGTATTCCATGGTCAAACACTCCAGATTTTGCAGGGCCACATCTGCATCCAAAAAAGGCAGAGGCCATGTTTGTCAGGGTGAGGGATACTATTTCTGGTGCCTCCACTTACCAGGAAACTTGATACCCCTTTGGATGGCTCTTTGGTTCCCCTAACATTTTAGCTGGAACTGTCAGAATCTCAGCAATGGTGTCATATGTGCCCGTCAGTCCATGTGTCAGTGGATGGGACAGGTTAACCCTTTGTAGCTGAGAAGAGGACATCCCACACTTCAGAGGTAGGAGGGACCGGACTGGTCTCCAGCGAGGCCTCTGTCCCTGGCTGTGCTCACTGGACTGAAGACGGGCAGACACATGGGGAGCAAGTGGCAGGAACCAGAAATGGAGTAGTTTTCATGATGCTTGCCTTGTCCAGAGACCTTTCCTTTAGGAGCTTTGCACCCCAAGTTTAATTCTAGCCTTTGTGTTTGTTGCAAGTTACAGACACGTGGCCGACCACCAACTTACCTGCATCGACAGAAGGTAAATAACCCTCATCCCTCCCTAGGACTCACTCAACCTCTGGATAAATGTTTTATCTGTAAATGACAGGATGAGGCTCGTGGTGGGCCCCTCTCTTGTTGATGTCCCTGTGGGTTGCATGGGAGGAAGGTGGAGTCTCTGGGAGGCCAGTCTTGGGTCTGATGTTGGAGATGGAGGGTGCTAATGAACTGTCCCCCATGGATTTCCATTCCAAGTATCAGGAAAGATCCTCATTCAGGTGCTGGGGACAAGCCTTGAAGGAATCCTTACTCCTGCTGGGACCTTGTTCCTGGCCCTCAGGCCGTGGGCCGCAGAGGTGTGGGGAGTGGGTGAAAGTGCCTGTCTCTGCAGCTCTCTGGCCAAGGCCCAGTGATACCTCTGAAATGTTCAAAAGCCAGACAGGACTATGGGTTTGCCACCAAGTTTCTGAGCAGGGAAGGGTCTGGGCCTGCCAACTGGATCTACGTAACTCCATCCTCTGTGTGCCCAGGGTAGAGAGTGGGTATCCATTCCTGTCAACTCCAGTGTGGCCACAGGTGTTCCCCAAACATGAGCCTTCATAAACCCAGGCGGGATAGGGCGCCATTGCTCCTTCGATTATGATGAAGCTGAGTCTCTGGTTTTAGTCATTTTCAAAGGTGACTGCCTGCCCAGCTGACTATAGCCATTAGGACGTGCCCCACATATGGAACATTCCTTAGATTGTTGACCTGCTGATAGGGAAGAATGAAGAATTCTTGTGTTCCCCTGTAGGATCTGAATCCAGTTTGGCCCTGAGGCTGGTGAATGGAAGTGACAGGTGTCAGGGCTGAGTGGAGGTCCTCTACTGAAGCTCCTGGGGCACCGTGTGTGATGATAGCTGGGACATCAGTGATGCCAATGTGTGGTCTGCAGGCAGCTGGGCTGTGGTTGGGCCATGTCGGCCCCAGGAAATGCCCGGTTTGGTCAGGGCTATGGACCCATTTGTCCTGGATGATGTGCACTCCTCAGGGCATGAGTCCTACCTGTGGAGCTGTCCCCACAGTGGCTGGCTCTTCCATTAACTGTCAGCACAGTGAAGACGCTGGGGTCATCTGCTCAGGTGGGCCTCCAAGGCTTGGGGCTCCCTGTGTTGGGGTGGAGTGTGGTCAGGAAGCGAGGTCTCATTCTGCTGTCATCTCCTCACTCAGAGCTTTTCCTAGATATCTCCTTAGTTCTCTGCTAGGAAACAGCATGAGTCACTGCCACATTGCCAGGTATTGGGGAGGTCAGGGAGGACAATGGGCCAGATTGAAATGAGGATCATGTGTTTGTTCACCTACTGAGGCAACTCAAGCAGGAGGAGAGAGAGGAAAGCGCCGGGCCTTTGTCTTTTAGTGCATCTGGAAGGGAGTAGCTGGGGCCCGGTTATTCATGAAGAAAGAGGTTGATTTGGACCGTGGCTTTACAGCTCCATAGGAGCACGGTGCAGGCATCTGCTTGGCTTCTGCTGAGGGCCTCAGGCTGCTTGCACTCCTGGTAGAAGGGGATGGGGAGCTGTCCTCGGCAGAGGTCACAGAGGAAGCAAGAGAGAGCAAGAGGGAGGGCCCAGGCCCTTTTCAACTAGTAGCTCTAGTTATGAACTAAGAGAAGACCTCACCCCTGACCAGGGGGGTTACTGAGGTACTCACGATGGGTTGGCCTCCGTGACCCTACAGGGTGCATCAGATCTCACCTCGATACTTGGGGTTCCAATCGCAACATGAGACTTGGATAAGACAAGCATCCAAACTATTGCACGCTGGCTCTCCAGGGTTCCATCTTTCTCCTACTGAAAGGTTCGGGTGAGGGTGAGGCAGATGAAGCACATATAGTGGGATTGGCAGAGGGACTATCTCACTGGGAGGAGCCCAGAACCAAAAACTCCTGCTGGGAATAGGAGGTTTTCTGCTGAGGTCCAGCAAGGAGGCATCAGAATGGATTCACAAGGTTGGGAGTATAGGTCTGTGTCTGTTGGTGTCCGGCCTGGGTTTTGGGAGTGTGAATGCCTGACTGCAATTCCCTCCAGAGCATAGCAGTCTTGCCTGTGCACCAGGTCTGGTGTGGGGTGGGCAGCCCCCATGATGCCTGCTAGGCAAAGCCTTATTATGAATGCCTGTAGGCTGGGCTAGAAGATCACAGGCAGGACTTTGGCTGGAATGGCCTCTTCGTACTTGCTGACTCAGGAACTGCTAAGACGTGCAAGGGAGAGGGTTGGTTTTGTGTCAGCCTGATTACTACAGGCAGACACAATCTGCCCAGATGCCTCCCAAGGAGCATCTCTGTGGGGACATGCATGGTGATGCCCCACCCTCTGTGTTAGGGGGCTAGGATGGACTAAGTGTCAGACTTTCCCAGGGCCTTCCACCTTTGTTACAGTTTTTCCAGCTTCTATGCAGTGCATCTGACCTGATCTCCTCTTTCTCACAGCTGCCCAGTCCCGGTCGACACCCAGGCCAGGTGAGTCCTCAGTGTCCTTCCTCGGGATGTCTCTTCTCTTTCTGCATAATTATCCTCTTTCCCATGTGACAGAGCCCTCCTTCTGATCTGTGTGGATACTCTGAGTCATACTATTTCTTCTGCTCTGCAACTGAGACCCCAGAATGGCACTTTTTAGCCATCCATGGTTAAGAAGGTATGACCTTTCAGAGAATTAAGAGTTATTGCCAAAGTCACTGAATAGGAAATGTCAGTTGAAATCTTAAACATGACTGTCCGTGGGTAAAGCAATACCAGTGCAGGCCTGAAACCTCCATTCCTCACTCGTTCAAACACCCCCAGATTCTGCAGGGCCCCATCTACAGCCAGAAAGGCAGAGGCTGTACTTGGGCAGGGAGAGAGATAATAGACATTTCTGGGGCCTCCATTTTTCAGGAGACTTTATATTCTTTTGGGCAGCTCCCTGATCCTTCCAGCATTTTACCTCCAACTGTCAGAGTCTCAGCAATGGTGTCAGATGTGTCTGTCAGTCCATGTGTCAGTGGCTGGGACAGGTTAACCCTTTGTAGCTGAGAAGAGGACATCCCACACTTCAGAGGTAGGAGGGACCGGACTGGTCTCCAGTGAGGCCTCTGTCCCTGGCTGTGCTCACTGGACTGAAGACGGGCAGACACATGGGGAGCAAGTGGCAGGAACCAGAAATGGAGTAGTTTTCATGATGCTTGCCTTGTCCAGAGACATTTCCTTTAGGAGCTTTGCACCCCAAGTTTAATTCTAGCCTTTGTGTTTGTTGCAAGTTACAGACACGTGGCCGACCACCAACTTACCTGCATCGACAGAAGGTAAATAACCCTCTCACCTCTCCCTAGGGCTCACTCTCTACCTCAGGACAAATGTTTTATCTGTAAATGACAGGATGAGGCTCATGGTGGGCCCCTCTCTTGTTGACGTCCCTGTGTGTTACATGGGGAGGAAGGTGGAGTCTCTGGGAGGCCAGACTTGGGTCTGATGTTGGAGGTGGAGGGTACTGGTGACCTGTCTCCCGTGGAATTCTGTTCCAAGTGGTCAGGAAAGATCCTCATCCAGGTGCTGAGAACAAGCCTTGGAGGGCTTCCTAATCCTGCTGTGACCTCATTCCTGGCCCTCTGGCCATGCACTGCTGAACTGCAAGGTTGGATGGAAGTTCCTGTCCCTGCAGCTCTCTGGCCAAGGCCTTGCCATCCCTGACAATTTGCTAGAAGCCAGAGAGGACCACATGGGTGCCACTGAACTCTTGAACACGGGGATGGCATGGGCCTGCCCTCTGGAGCTGTGGAGCTCAGTGCTGTGTGTACCCAGAGTAGGCAGTGGGGGGGTCCATTCCTGTCACCTTCACTGGGATCACAGACGCTTCCCCAAAACTTGAGCCTCCACAAACCGGGGCAGAATAGGGTATCCCCTCTCCTTCCTCTATGATGAAGCTGAAATTCTGGTTGCAGTCATATGCAATCGGGACTGCCGGCCCAGGTGACTTTGGCCAGTAGGAAGTGCCCTGAGTGTGGAACGAGCCTTAGATTCTTGAACTGCTAATAGGGATGAATAAAGGGTTCTTGTGTTCCCCTGTAGGATCTGAATCCAGTTTGGCCCTGAGGCTGGTGAATGGAGGTGACAGGTGTCAGGGCCGAGTGGAAGTCCTCTACCGAGGCTCCTGGGGTACCGTGTGTGATGACAGCTGGGACATCAGTGATGCCAATGTGGTCTGCAGGCAGCTGGACTGTGGCTGGGCCACGTCAGCCCCAGGAAATGCCCGGTTTGGTCAGGGCTATGGACCCATTGTCCTGGATGACGTGCGCTGCTCAGGGCATGAGTCCTACCTATGGAGCTGCCCTCACAATGGCTGGCTCTCCCACAACTGTCGCCATAGTGAAGACGCTGGTGTCATCTGCTCAGGTGGGCCTCCAAGACCTTGGGCTCCTTCCCCTGGGCTGGAGTTTGCTCAGGAAGAAAGTCCTAATTACATTCTGATCTCCTCACTCAAAGCTTGTTCTGTTTCCCATATTTCTGGAGTCTTGTTAGCGCTCTGCTCAAAATCCATATGAATTCACTGCCTGGTATTCCTGTGGTCACGTGGGACAAGGGAGCACCCTCAAACTGCAACCCCAACATTATCACTATCCTGAGACAGTGCAAGGAAGAGGCAGACGAGAAAAGTGCTGGCTCCCCAGGGCTCCATTTCTCCCCTGCTGAGTAGCACTGGGTGAGGGTGTGGTGGATACAGCACAGAGAGTGGGGCAGCGGAGGGATCCTCTCACTGGGGGAATCTCTGAACTAAGGACGCTTGTCCGGAGGTGGGTTCTCAGCTGAGACCCAATAAGGAGGGCTAGAAATAGAAGCACACGGCTTAGGAGAGTAAACGTGACAGTTCGTGTCAGGCTTAGAGTGTCTGTTCGTGTGAGGCCTGGGTCACATGGAGTTGGAGTCCTTAATCACAGCTCCTTACAGAGCACTGTGGATCACTGCCGTGTCCCAGGAATGATGGGGGGATTGCAGCCCTCATGAGGCCGGCCAGGCATGGCCTTGTTATTGCCAGTGGTTGGCGCTGGATGATCACTTGAGGGATTTTGCCTGGAGTGGCCTCCTCAGACTTGTTGACTTAGGAATTGCCAATAGGTGCCATGGAGAGGGTTGGTTTTGGGTCAACCGGGTCCCCCTTAGTAGACACCATGTTAGTCCCCTTGAAGCTGGCAATCATGGACATGATCTGCCCTGATCCATTGCAAGGAGCATCTCTGTGGGGTATGCATGGCAATGTCCATCCCTCTGTGATAGGGGACTAGGATGGACTGAGTGTCAGAGTGGCCCAGTTCCTTCCTCCTTTTTCCAGTCCTGCTGGTCTCTGTTAGTGCTTCTGATCTGACTTTCTCTTTTTCTTACAGCTTCCCAGTCCCAGTCAACGCCCAGGCCAGGTGAGTCCCCAGCATCTGGGATGCCCCTTCTCTTTCTGCCCAATTACCCCTAGCCTCAATCCACAGAGCTCTCCAGCTCCTCTGGGCAGATACCGTGGGGCATATTATTTTCCCCACCACTCTGTAACTGAGACCCCAGCACAGCGCCTCAACAGACATAGGAGCGAGGAGGCTTCTGACTTCTGTTCCATTTATCTCAGCTTTCCTGAGCACTTTCATGCTGTACTATGGGTAACCCTTGCAGGTTCAGGAAGTGGCCTCATGTTTAATGAGCTTTGGCTGCTTTATATTCAGAGTTCATCTCTCCGTTCTGAGAATTGAGAGCGGTTGATAAAGTCATCTGGAAAGACAGTGTCCATGGAAGCCTTAAAACATGACTTTGTCCATTGGCAAGCAATGTCAGTGCAGGCTGATACCTCCATCCCTCACTGCTGCAAACACTCCAGATTCTGTAGGGCCAAATCTGCATCCAGAAAAGGCAGAGGCCATGCTCCACATGGAGAGCAATACTATTTCTGGTGCCTCCATTTACCAGGAAACTTGATAGCCCAATGGGCACCTCCTTGGTTCCCCTAACAGGTGGAACTGCCAGAATCTCAGCAATGGTGTCACATGTGCCCATCAGTCCAGGTGTCAGTCGATGAGGCAGGGTAACCTTTGTGTCTCAGAAGGGGACATGTAGGAGGGATAGGACTGGTCTCCAGTGAGGCCTTCATTCCTGTCTGAGTTCACTGAGCTGAAGACTTAGACAGACACTTGGAGCAAGTGGCAGGAGCCAGAAACTGAATAGTTTTCCTGATGCTTGCCGGGTCCAGAGACCTTTCCTTGTTGAGCTTTTCACCCTCAAGTCTAATTCTGTCCTTTCTCTTTGTTCCAATTTCCAGATGCTTGGCCAGCCACTGACTTACCTGCATCTACAATAGGTAAATCATCCTCTCACCGCTCCCTAGGATTCACTCTCTACCTCTTTCAAACATTTCTTTAGAAAGTGATAGAATGAGGCTGAAGGTGGGTGTCTCTGTTTTTCATGTCCCTGCAGGTTGCCTGGGGAGGAATGTGGCCTCCCTGGGAACCTAGTCCTGGGTCTGATATTGGAGGGTGGAGGGTGCTGGTGACCTGTCTCCCTTGGGAATCTGTGTTATGTGTTCAGGAAAGATCCTCATCCAGGTGCTCAAGACAAGCCCTGGACAGCTCCCTAATCCTCCTGGGTTCTTGTTCCTGGTCCTCAGCCAACGGTTGCAGACCGGAGCTGAGTAGCGGACAGTACCTGTCCCTACAGCTGTCTGTCCTGTTATTGCTGGCACTTTGCCAGAAGCCAGAGAGGACCCTGTGGGTGCCACCAAACTCCTGAACATGGGGCAGTTCTCGCCCTCCTATCTGGAGCTGTGCAGCTTCATCCTGTGTGAGAATGGAGCTCAGAATGGGGAGTGAGGCGTCCATTCCTGTCACCTCTAGAGGGGTCACAGGTTCTTCCCGAGTACTTGAGCTTCCATAGACCTGGGCAGAGTAGGACATCACTACTTCTTCCACTACCATGAGGCTGAACTTCTTTTCGTAAAATATTCAAAGGTGATTACTTGCCCAAGAGACTTAGGCCATCAGGAAGTGCCCTGAGTGTGGAAGATTCCTTAGATCACTGATCTCATGATCCATATGGATGAAGAGCTCTTGTGTTCCCCTGTAGGATCTGAATCCGGTTTGGCCCTGAGGCTGGTGAATGGAAGTGACAGGTGTCAAGGCCGAGTGGAGGTCCTCTACCGAGGCTCCTGGGGCACCGTGTGTGATGACAGCTGGGACATCAGTGATGCCAATGTGGTCTGCAGACAGCTGGAATGCGGATGGGCCATGTCAGCCCCAGGAAATGCCCGCTTTGGTCAGGGCTATGGACCCATTGTCCTGGATGACGTGCGCTGCTCAGGGTATGAGTCCTACCTGTGGAGCTGCTCCCACAATGGCTGGCTCTCCCACAACTGTCAGCACAGTGAAGACGCTGGTGTCATCTGCTCAGGTGAGCCTCCAAGACCTTGGGCTCCCTCTGTTGGGCTGGAATTGGTTCAGGAAGAAAGTCCTAATTACATTCTGATCTCTTCAAAGCTTGTTCTATGTTTCCCATGTTTCTGAAGTCTTGTTAGTGCTCTGCTCAGAATCCATATGAATTCACTGCCTAGTGTTCCTGTGGTCACTTGGGACAGGGGACCAAACTCAAACTGCAACCCAGACTTTATCCCTATCATGAGGCAGTGCAAGGAATAGGCAGAAGAGCAAAGTGCTGGCTCCCCAGGGCTCCATTTCTCCCCTGCTGAGTAGCACTGGGTGAGGGTATCATGGACACAGCACAGACAGCAGGACAGGGCAGGGATCCTCTCACTGCAGGAAACTCTGAACTAAGAATGCTTGTCTGCGGGTGGGTTCTCAGCTGACAGTCAATAGGGAAATCTGGACATAGAGTCGGAAGGCTGACAAGTGCACAAGGGTGTCTGTTCCTGTCAGGCGTGGGTCACACGGAGTAGGAGTCCTTGATCACAGCTCCTTTCAGAACACTGCGGAGCACTGCCTGTGCCTGAGTCTGGTGTGGGGACGGCAGCCCCCATGAGGCCTGCCAGGAATGGCCTTATTATTGACTGTGGTTGGGGCTGGAAGATCACATGAGGGATTTTGGCTGGAGCGGCCTCTTCAGCCCTGCTGACTCAGGAACTGCCAAGAAATGCCAGGGAGAGGATTGGTTTTCAGTCAACGTGCTCACCCTGGGAAGACACCAAGTTAATCATCTTGGAGGTGGCAATAGTGGACAGGATCTGCCCAATCCCTTCCAAGGAACATCTCTGTGGGAATGCGCATGGCAACGCCCCTCTGTGTGACAGGGGAGAAGGATGGACTGGGTGTCAGACTCGTGCAGATCCTTCCTCCTTTGCTCTAGTTTTACAGTTTCTGTTAGCGCATCTGATCTGATCTTCTCTTCTCTTTGCCACAGCTTCCCAGTCCTGGTCAACAGCCCAGGCCAGGTGAGTCCCCAGCATCCTTTCTCAGGATGTCCCTTCTCTTTCTGCCCAATTACCCCTTCCCCCACTCCACGGAGCTCTCCTGCTCCTCTGTGTGGATACAGTGGGGCATATAACATCTCCCCACCACTTTGTAACTGAGACCCCAGCACAGCGCTTCAACAGACATAGGATGGAGGAGGCTTCTGACTTCTGGTCCATTTAGCTCAGCTTTCCTGAAGCAGTTTCATACTGTACTATGGGTAACCCTTACAATTTCAGGAAGTGGCCTCATGTTTAATGAGCTTTGACTCCTTTCTATTCAGAGCTGATCTAACCTTTCTGAGAACTGAGAGTGGTTGGTAAAGTCACCTGGGAAGGCCATGTCAGTTCCAGTCTTAAACATGACTTTGTCCATGGGCAAGCATTGCCAGTGCAGGCCTGATACCTTCACCCCTCACTCCATCAAACACCCCAGAATTTGCAAAGGCAGAGGCCATGCTCGCTGGGAGAGTGATAGTAAATATTTCTGGTGCCTCCACTCACCAGGAAACTTGATACCCTTTGAGCAGCTTTTTGGTCCCCTAAACATTTTAGCTGGACCTGTCAGAGTCTCAGCAATGGTGTCAGATGTGCCCATCGGTGCATGTGTCAGTGGATGGGGCAGGCTAACCTTTGTGGCTGAGAAGAGGGCATCTAGGAGGGATAGGACTGGTCTCCAGTGAGGCGTTTATTCCTGGCTGAGCTCACTGATCTGGAGACTTGGACAGACACTTGAAGCAAGTGGCAGGAACCAGAAACTCAATAGTTTTCATGATGCTTGCCTGGCCGAGAGACTTTTCCTTTTGAGCTTTTCACCCTCAAGTCTTATTCTGTCCTTTCTCTTTGTTGCAATTTACAGATGCTTGGCCAGCCACTGACTTACCTGCATCGACCATAGGTAAATCATCCTCTCACCGCTCCCTAGGGCTCACTCTCTACCTCTTTCAAGTATTTCTTTTGAAAATGATGGAATGAGACTCAAGGTGTGCTCTCCTGTGTTTCATGTCCCTGCGGGTTACCTGGGGAGGAAAGTGGACTCCCTGGGAACCTAGTCCTGGGTCTGATGGTGGAGGGCGGAGGGTCCTGGTGACCTGTCTGCCCTGGTATTCTGTTTTGTGTGGTTAGGAAAAGACCCTCATTCAGGTGCTCAGAACACGCCCTGGATGGCTCCCTCATCCTGATGGGTCCTCATTCCCGGCCCTCAGGCCATAGTTTATAGATCTGTGAAGAGCAGGGGAAAGCGCCTGTCCCTTCAGGTGACTGAGCAATGTCCTGCCATTCCTGTCAGTTTGCCAGAAGCCAGAGAGGACCATGTGGGTATCACAAAACTCCTGAACATGGGGAAGGTGTCAGCCGTCTCTATGGAGCTGTGCAGCTTCATCCTGTGTTAGAATGGAGCTCAGAAGCGAATACACACACAATTATTCCTTACGCCTTTGGGGTTGTCCTTACTGCTGATGTCTGATCTCCAGTGGCTGGAGCCAGACCTCACATATTAAACTAAAACCTGATTGGCTTACAACTTCTTTAAACTTTTCTAAACAGGGAAAGGCAACGGAGAGCTCGGACATGCCTGTGAGCAGTCCAGCACAGATATCTTGGTTAAAGTACAAGGATGTAGAAGGTACTATGTGCCTGTAAGCATGGCCTGTCTACTAACAGTTATACAGGATAGGGCCTAACAACGTTATTAGCACACTTATTCTGCAAAAAGAAAGAAAACTTTTAAAAGTAACCTTTCTACTTTCCACAATGAAGAATCCTTGTGTTCCCCTGTAGGATCTGATTCCGGTTTGGCCCTGAGGCTGGTGAATGGAGGTGACAGGTGTCAAGGCCGAGTGGAAGTCCTGTACCGAGGCTCCTGGGGCACCGTGTGTGATGACAGCTGGGACATCAGTGATGCCAATGTGGTCTGCAGACAGCTGGACTGTGGCTGGGCCACGTCAGCTCCAGGAAATGCCCGTTTTGGTCAGGGCTATGGACCCATTGTCCTGGATGACGTGCGCTGCTCAGGGCATGAGTCCTACCTATGGAGCTGCCCTCACAATGGCTGGCTCTCCCACAACTGTCGCCATAGTGAAGACGCCGGTGTCATCTGCTCAGGTGGGCCTCCAAGACCTTGGGCTCCTTCCCCTGGGCTGGAGTTTGCTCAGGAAGAAAGTCTTAATTACATTCTGATCTCCTCACTCAAAGCTTGTTCTGTTTCCCATATTTCTGGAGTCTTGTTAGCACTCTGCTCAGAATCCATATGAATTCACTGCCTGGTATTCCTGTGGTCACTTGGGACAAGGGATCACACTCAAACTGCAACCCCAACATTATCACTATCCTGAGACAGTGCAAGGAAGAGGCAGACGAGAAAAGTGCTGGCTCCCCAGGGCTCCATTTCTCCCCTGCTGAGTAGCACTGGGTGAGGGTGTCGTGGATACAGCACAGAGAGTGGGGCAGCGGAGGGATCCTCTCACTGGGGGAATCTCTGAACTAAGGACGCTTGTCCGGAGGTGGGTTCTCAGCTGAGACCCAATAAGGAGGGCTAGAAATAGAAGCACACGGCTTAGGAGAGTAAACGTGACAGTTTGTGTCAGGCTTAGAGTGTCTGTTTGTGTGAGGCCTGGGTCACATGGAGTTGGAGTCCTTAATCACAGCTCCTTACAGAGCACTGTGGATCACTGCCGTGTTCCAGGAATGATGGGGGGATTGCAGCCCTCATGAGGCCGGCCAGGCATGGCCTTGTTATTGCCAGTGGTTGTTACTGGAAGATCACTTGAGGGATTTTGCCTGGAGTGGCCTCCTCAGACTTGTTGACTTAGGAACTGCCAAGAGGTGCCATGGAGAGGGTTGGTTTTGGGTCAACCTGGTCCCCCTTAGTAGACACCATGTTAGTCCCCTTGAAGCTGGCAATCATGGACATGATCTGCCCTGATCCATTGCAAGGAGCATCTCTGTGGGGTGTGCATGGCAATGTCCATCCCTCTGTGATAGGGGACTAGGATGGACTGAGTGTCAGAGTGGCCCAGTTCCTTCCTCCTTTTTCCAGTCCTGCTGGTCTCTGTTAGTGCTTCTGATCTGACTTTCTCTTTTTCTTACAGCTTCCCAGTCCCAGTCAACGCCCAGGCCAGGTGAGTCCCCAGCATCTGGGATGCCCCTTCTCTTTCTGCCCAATTACCCCTAGCCTCAATCCACAGAGCTCTCCAGCTCCTCTGGGCAGATACCGTGGGGCATATTATTTTCCCCACCACTCTGTAACTGAGACCCCAGCACAGCGCCTCAACAGACATAGGAGGGAAGAGGCTTCTGACTTCTGTTCCATTTATCTCAGCTTTCCTGAAGCAGTTTCATACTGTACTATGGGTAACCCTTGCAGGTTCAGGAAGTGGCCTCATGTTTAATGAGCTTTGTCTAATTTATATTCAGAGCTGATCTCTCCGTTCTGAGAATTGAGAGTGGTTGATAAAGTCATCTGGAAAGACAGTGTCCATGGAAGCCTTAAACATGACTTTGTCCATTGGCAAGCAATGTCAGTGCAGGCTGATACCTCCATCCCTCACTGCTGCAAACACTCCAGATTCTGTAGGGCCAAATCTGCATCCAGAAAAGGCAGAGGCCATGCTCCACATGGAGAGCAATACTATTTCTGGTGCCTCCATTTACCAGGAAACTTGATAGCCCAATGGGCACCTCCTTGGTTCCCCTAACAGGTGGAACTGCCAGAATCTCAGCAATGGTGTCACATGTGCCCATCAGTCCAGGTGTCAGTCGATGAGGCAGGGTAACCTTTGTGTCTCAGAAGGGGACATGTAGGAGGGATAGGACTGGTCTCCAGTGAGGCCTTCTTTCCTGTCTGAGTTCACTGAGCTGAAGACTTAGACAGACACTTGGAGCAAGTGGCAGGAGCCAGAAACTGAATAGTTTTCCTGATGCTTGCCGGGTCCAGAGACCTTTCCTTGTTGAGCTTTTCACCCTCAAGTCTAATTCTGTCCTTTCTCTTTGTTGCAATTTCCAGATGCTTGGCCAGCCACTGACTTACCTGCATCTACAATAGGTAAATCATCCTCTCACTGCTCCCTAGGGTTCACTCTCTACCTCTTTCAAACATTTTTTTTGAAAGTGATAGAATGAGGCTGAAGGTGGGTGTCTCTGTTTTTCATGTCCCTGCAGGTTGCCTGGGGAGGAAGGTGGCCTCTCTGGGAACATAGTCTTGGGTCTGATGTTGTAGGGTGGAGGGTGCTGGTGACCTGGGAATCTGTGTTATGTGTTCAGGAAAGATCCTCACTCAGGTGCTCAAGACACACCCTGGACAGGTTCCTAATCATCCTGGGTTCTTGTTCCTGGTCCTCAGCCAACGGTTGCAGACCAGAGCTGAGTAGGGGACAGTGCCTGTTCCCACAGCTGTCTGGCAAAGTCCTGTTATTGCTGACACTTTGCCAGAAGCCAGAGAGGACCCTGTGGGTGCCTCCAAACTCCTGAACATGGGGCAGTTCTCGCCCTCCTATCTGGAGCTGTGCAGCTTCATCCTGTGTGAGAATGGAGCTCAGAATGGGGAGTGAGGCGTCCATTCCTGTCACCTCTAGAGGGGTCACAGGTTCTTCCCGAGTACTTGAGCTTCCATAGACCTGGGCAGAGTAGGACATCACTACTTCTTCCACTACCATGAGGCTGAACTTCTTTTCGTAAAATATTCAAAGGTGATTACTTGCCCAAGAGACTTAGGCCATCAGGAAGTGCCCTGAGTGTGGAAGATTCCTTAGATCACTGATCTCATGATCCATATGGACGAAGAGTTCTTGTGTTCCCCTGTAGGATCTGAATCCGGTTTGGCCCTGAGGCTGGTGAATGGAAGTGACAGGTGTCAGGGCCGAGTGGAGGTCCTGTACCGAGGCTCCTGGGGCACCGTGTGTGATGACAGCTGGGACATCAGTGATGCCAATGTGGTCTGCAGACAGCTGGAATGCGGATGGGCCATGTCAGCCCCAGGAAATGCCCGCTTTGGTCAGGGCTATGGACCCATTGTCCTGGATGACGTGCGCTGCTCAGGGTATGAGTCCTACCTGTGGAGCTGCCCTCACAATGGCTGGCTCTCCCACAACTGTCAGCACAGTGAGGACGCTGGTGTCATCTGCTCAGGTGAGCCTCCAAGACCTTGGGCTCCCTCCTCTGGGCTAGAGTTTGCTCAGGAAGAAAGTCCTTATTACATTCTGATCTCCTCACTCAAAGCTTGTTCTGTGTTTTCCATATTTTTGAAGTCTTGTTAGTGCTCTGCTCCGAATCCATATGAAATCACTGCCTAGTGTTCCTGTGGTCACTTGGAACAGGGGACCAAACTCAAACTGCAACCCAGACTTTATCGCTATCATGAGACAGTGCAAGGAATAGGCAGAAGAGAAAAGTACTGGCTCCCCAGGGCTCCATTTCTCCCTCGCTGAGTAGCACTGGGTGAGGGTATCATGGACACAGCACAGACAGCGGGACAGGGCAGGGATCCTCTCACTGCAAGACACTCTGAACTAAGGATGCTTGTCTGCGGGTGGGTTCTCAGCTGACAGTCAATAGGGAAATCTGGACATAGAGTCGGAAGGCTGACAAGTGCACAAGGGTGTCTGTTCCTGTCAGGCGTGGGTCACACGGAGTAGGAGTCCTTGATCACAGCTCCTTTCAGAACACTGCGGAGCACTGCCTGTGCCTGAGTCTGGTGTGGGGACGGCAGCCCCCATGAGGCCTGCCAGGAATGGCCTTATTATTGACTGTGGTTGGGGCTGGAAGATCACATGAGGGATTTTGGCTGGAGCGGCCTCTTCAGCCCTGCTGACTCAGGAACTGCCAAGAAATGCCAGGGAGAGGATTGGTTTTCAGTCAACGTGCTCACCCTGGGAAGACACCAAGTTAATCATCTTGGAGGTGGCAATAGTGGACAGGATCTGCCCAATCCCTTCCAAGGAACATCTCTGTGGGAATGCGCATGGCAACGCCCCTCTGTGTGACAGGGGAGAAGGATGGACTGGGTGTCAGACTCGTGCAGATCCTTCCTCCTTTGCTCTAGTTTTACAGTTTCTGTTAGCGCATCTGATCTGATCTTCTCTTCTCTTTGCCACAGCTTCCCAGTCCTGGTCAACGCCCAGGCCAGGTGAGTCCCCAGCATCCTTTCTCAGGATGTCCCTTCTCTTTCTGCCCAATTACCCCTTCCCCCACTCCACGGAGCTCTCCTGCTCCTCTGTGTGGATACAGTGGGGCATATAACATCTCCCCACCACTTTGTAACTGAGACCCCAGCACAGCGCTTCAACAGACATAGGATGGAGGAGGCTTCTGACTTCTGGTCCATTTAGCTCAGCTTTCCTGAAGCAGTTTCATACTGTACTATGGGTAACCCTTACAATTTCAGGAAGTGGCCTCATGTTTAATGAGCTTTGACTCCTTTCTATTCAGAGCTGATCTAACCTTTCTGAGAACTGAGAGTGGTTGGTAAAGTCACCTGGGAAGGCCATGTCAGTTCCAGTCTTAAACATGACTTTGTCCATGGGCAAGCATTGCCAGTGCAGGCCTGATACCTTCACCCCTCACTCCATCAAACACCCCAGAATTTGCAAAGGCAGAGGCCATGCTCGCTGGGAGAGTGATAGTAAATATTTCTGGTGCCTCCACTCACCAGGAAACTTGATACCCTTTGAGCAGCTTTTTGGTCCCCTAAACATTTTAGCTGGACCTGTCAGAGTCTCAGCAATGGTGTCAGATGTGCCCATCGGTGCATGTGTCAGTGGATGGGGCAGGCTAACCTTTGTGGCTGAGAAGAGGGCATCTAGGAGGGATAGGACTGGTCTCCAGTGAGGCGTTTATTCCTGGCTGAGCTCACTGATCTGGAGACTTGGACAGACACTTGGAGCAAGTGGCAGGAACCAGAAACTCAATAGTTTTCATGATGCTTGCCTGGTCCAGAGACCTTTCCTTTTGAGCTTTTTACCCTCAAGTCTAACTCTGTCCTTTCTCTTTGTTGCAATTTACAGATGCTTGGCCAGCCACTGACTTACCTGCATCGACCATAGGTAAATCATCCTCTCACCACTCCCTAGGGCTCACTCTCTACCTCTTTCAAGTATTTCTTTTGAAAATGATGGAATGAGACTCAAGGTGTGCTCTCCTGTGTTTCATGTCCCTGTGGTTTACCTGGGGAGGAAAGTGGCCTCCCTGGGAACCTAGTCCTGGGTCTGATGTTGGAGGGCGGAGGGTCCTGGTGACCTGTCTGCCCTGGTATTCTGTTTTGTGTGGTTAGGAAAGCCCCTCATTCAGGTGCTCAGAAGAAGCCCTGGATGGCTCCGTCATCCTGATGGCTCCTCGTTCCTGGCCCTCAGGCCATAGTTTATAGATCTGTGAAGAGCAGGGGAAAGCGCCTGTCCCTTCAGGTGACTGAGCAATGTCCTGCCATTCCTGTCAGTTTGCCAGAAGCCAGAGAGGACCATGTGGGTATCACAAAACTCCTGAACATGGGGCAGGTGTCAGCCGTCTCTATGGAGCTGTGCAGCTTCATCCTGTGTTAGAATGGAGCTCAGAAGCGAATACACACACAATTATTCCTTACGCCTTTGGGGTTGTCCTTACTGCTGATGTCTGATCTCCAGTGGCTGGAGCCAGACCTCACATATTAAACTAAAACCTGATTGGCTTACAACTTCTTTAAACTTTTCTAAACAGGGAAAGGCAACGGAGAGCTCGGACATGCCTGTGAGCAGTCCAGCACAGATATCTTGGTTAAAGTACAAGGATGTAGAAGGTACTATGTGCCTGTAAGCATGGCCTGTCTACTAACAGTTATACAGGATAGGGCCTAACAACGTTATTAGCACACTTATTCTGCAAAAAGAAAGAAAACTTTTAAAAGTAACCTTTCTACTTTCC